TGTAAGTCTATTACAAATGGACTAAGCCCAATACAATCCAATGAATATTTTGGATTATTTTGAACTGGTCCAATTCAATGTCTGGATCGTTAAATTTGTTCAAACTTATTTTAATTTAGATTAATTCTAATCCAAACCTGATCCATTGACACCTATATTCTTATCTTCTATCAATGAACAAGATATTGGCTCAATCCAACCCAATCCAGTATAAATCCATTAAGGATGGATTAGGTCTAATCCAATCCAATGAATAGTTTGGACCATTAAGCTTGGACTGATCTAATTCAATATATCTTGTTGGTCCGTCCAATCCGTCTAAATTGATTTTAGTTTGGATGGGGTCCAATCCACCCCTACCACCAGGGTGGGGGTTAAGGGGAAGAGCGGATGGGCTACCCTCCATGTGTAGCCCCATGAAACAAATAATAACAATAGTAACAATAATGATGATAATGATAATGATCCAATCCCTTGTAACCTATGTTTTAGAGGTGGATAAGGTGAGGTGGTCCAGGTGGATTCAGCCCGAACTGGTGAGACGTGCACCCCATTTAAGAAAACTAATTTATATTCTACAAATTTAAGAAAACTTTTTTTTTGAAGGTCTCAAATTTAAGAAGAAAACTTGATCATTTAGTTGGTTAGATTCAAAAATCTTTAATTAAATCCCCTTGTTTTTCTCTTACTCATTTAGTTGGTTAGATTCAAAAATCTTTAGAAGACCGACAGTCCATATTTTCGTATTTTTCCGTTCGGTTGGAATTTGGAAAAAGATATGGTTGTCAAAAAATGCAGTCCCGAAAAGACTCGGAAAAAGACTATTTTTGAGAAGCTCCAAATGGACCTTTTACACTTATTTCGTCTCATCTTTATGCGAAAAAAACACACCTCCAACCAAACAGACTGTGGGCTGCCAAGATCTTTATGTAAAAGTCAATACGTTTTTTGTCTGCCAAATCTTTTAGAAGATTTTTCGAAAAAGATTTACCAAACAGTACCATAAATTATTCAAGCAAAATTTAACTGAACACTTTAACTGTTTAATGGGCTATGAAATCAATGATAAGATTCTACACCAATTCACATCTTTACAGTGAGACCCATGAATTTATTACTGACGTAAAACCTCATCATTAATTTCACAACCCGCTAAACAGTTAAAACATTCATCTAATCCGAATTCAAATCAGATACCTGAATTGTACCCCTAAAATCTCAATGAATGACGTTAATGATCCAGTAGCTGAAAAGCCTGAAATAATTAGGCATCACCCAAGATCAACTCAAACGCATGTAGCTGCAAATTCTCCGTGGCAAGGTCGGTGGATGTTACGTGTACCTTGCTGTGTCCCTACCCTTGATTCCTCTGTAATGTAATTCGTAATATGTAAAAAAAAAAAAAAACAAACAAACAAACAAAAAAACAAAAAAGAAAGAAAGAAATGGACATGTGAGATTAGTATTTCCATTCCTATGTTTACATCATTTAAAAATATATAAATTAGCTTCCGTTGGAAAATATACTAGAATAAATGTAAATAAAGAAACCGTTATTTTATTTAGATAGAAAAGGTTATAAATATAAAACAAAATGCAAGATAAAATTTAACAATTGTCATGTTAAAAAGTAAATATACACTATGAAAGAAATAAGTTGTATTTGAAAATGTATAAAGAAATTATAAATAATCTTATTGGTCCGTCTGATGAAAATCAAAATTGACCACAAAGGGTGAGGATGGAAAGTTGCCGGAGTAGGGTGTCATTTTACATGGATTGTCACCTCGGCTACTGAGAGAGAGACTTACAACCATAAGAGATGTCAGAGGCCCCGGGTGATATCCTAAGGGTGTGAATTCCAATGGTTAAGTCAATAACGCCAAGGAAAAAAAGTGAGTCAGAGAGTCTCTCACACATGGTCGGAGCTCGGTCCACTTGTCGCATCCTCGGTTGACACGTTGTGTGCAACATGGTAGGCAATGGGCCTATATGGAGTGCACTGGCATTGATGTCCTGATCAATTCGATCACGTGTTGTTTGTGCATGTTATTGAATTGGCATCAGATCAATTCGTTAAGACCAGATCAGCTTATAGCTCGTCAAGACCAAGGTAGTTCATAGCTCATTAGAACCAGGTCAGCTCATAGTTCATTAGGACCAAGTCAGCTCATAGTTCATTAGGACCAGGTCAAGTCATAGCTCGTTAGGACAAGTCAATTGACAATTTTGCCCCCAATATACTACCACTTAGCGGTTTTTAACTGAGGTCAGTTTTGACCTTATCACCATTCAAATTGATTTTGATTTAGACAGATCCAACCCAAAACCGGCCAATTAACACCCCTTTTACTTGTATTCCTATTCCTCAACTTTCCAGCACCCAATCGCCTGTCTTTGCTTTTACATAAACTCTTAAAACCTTATTGTAAGTCAACAGTTAACATAGCATGCAGCGTGCCTGTTTGTTTGTAGGAGTAGCTTGAATAGGACCATAGATTACTAGCAAGGGACAGATAAACCTGTTAAAATCATCAGTTGTGCATGAGATCCCATATACCTTTCAAGAGATGAAGACAATAACACTTTATGTAACTAGACTTCTGTTTGGTACGCCAAGGACTTGACGCAGAAAGAACGACTTTCACATAACGTGCAACTGCAAAGTTATATAAAAACACTTCAATAAAACATCAACTCTACAGTTTAGACATTGATTTGTAATGGACCTAAAGCTCAGTTTGGAAGGAATATAAATACATATATACAAAATAATATAAAATACAAAGTTTTGCATTCTATATATCTATATTCGTTCCTTCCAAATTGAGCCTAAAACTTTATATTTTGTAGAACGTAAAATCTTATATTTTGTATTATTTTGTATGTATTTATATTCTATAAATTTGCATTTGTACTCCTTCCAAATTAAAATTAATGATCGTGATAAGAATGACTTCTACGTAACTTAAAAAGACACAAGGATAAAAGCACTTTTGTGGATGGATATTTGGATCACGATTTCTGGTTTAAATAAAAAAAAAATGGGGGTTAGATGTGGAAAGAGTTGAGCAAAAAGGGTGAAACTTAAAAAGCTAGCTGCCAAGAAAGAAGATTTTAAGGATGAGGGCCGTGGGGCCATGCTCCTCATTAGGCTTTCTTTTATACGCATATATTTCCAACGATGGATCATGGATGTGCATTGATAACACCTTACCACCAAACGTCAAGATTACTGGCACTCCATTGCTGTAATCGATTGTTTCCTCCATCTCAACCCCCCACAATCTGTACAAAAGTTCCTTTTTGACACTACTTTTCTCCATTTAATTACCTTTTTTTTTTCTGTAGTGTTACAGCTTAAAGTGAGAAAGGACCATTTAAACGTTGTACTCTTTCTAAAGGTTCAGGTCAACTTTGCAGAGTAGGTTTGAGAAGTTCCCAGCCAGAACCCGACCCATATTCACATGTATCTCTAGGCTCTCTTTGTTTGTCGAACCAGAGTATTGTATTCCAGTTCGCACGTTTGTTTGGAATGTGAAGTAATGATTATTAAAGTAAAAGTATTTTTTGACAGTTTTGTATTTTGAGAATAGAGTATTATTGTACTTATTTTTTTGATACAATTTTGTATTTTTTTGATAATTAATTTTTTGATCAAAATTAATGCATTAGAGTATAAGATAGTTGGAACATTTAATGATAGATTCATACCTTTGTATCGATTTCAAACAAATAAGATAAATGCAAAAATGATTTAAAATGTGAACTGTATTTATATTTATAAACCAAAAAATAAATAAATATATAATATACGTATTTATATTTGCATTACAACCAAACACAGCCCTAATAGATTAGATTGGCCAATTGACCAATTGGAGCGGATCCAGTCAAGCATGGCCCAGCCCGGTCCAACAATTGCCATGGACATTGTGTGGCTCTCCGTGGTCCACTGCCGTATACCTCCTCACAGATGGCTAAAATGGAGCGGCTTGTAAACTTGTTTAGCCATGGGTCCTAAAAGGGCCATTCCAACATTCCCTATATCAAACAAATTCATAACCAAATAAAATAAAGCGTAGGGACCAGACGAGGCATTTTGCAATGTAAAAGGTCGTTCGGTGAACCGAATTTGGTATTCACCCTAACAAAACGACTTATCTTGCCACATGGCAAATGATAAGAAGCTGACGTGGGGACATGCATTTTTTTCTTACCGCCTTCTAATCTCCACGTGGAGATCCATATCGTTTGGAAAGTTGAAACTTGGAAGTGAAAATTCCAGAGCGGCTTCTATCAGAACAAATCTGTGCTCATACTATTCTAATAGCCTTTTACAATCTTGGATTGCATCGAGAGAATATTTTGCCATGAAATAAAACACAATTACGAAAATATTTTCAATGCAAGGCAGTAAAAGCTGCCCGAATTGCTTTGCCCGGATTGAAGCCGATCTCAAAAATTCCATCGCCTTTTCCCGCGCTGAATACTTTTGTATTTACGTTTTGTTATCACCGAACCAAAACGCTTAAAAAGGGTATATCCGTATATATACACAACAGCAGCTTTCTTGCTCCGAAACAAACGCGCCCCAGTTTTTTGGGGTGTTCCTCATTTTACAAGGGAGGAGATCTATACCTAAATTAACGTACTAATCTAATCAACTTTAGGTTAGATGACTATTGAGTCATCATCACGGTCTCGTTAATACACAAAACGTTGACTATTTGACTATTCTACTTGACTCAATAAAATAAATCATAATCACGCAAATCAGTTATTTTCTCTTAAAAAAATGTAATTTCAGTGATAATTTATGATGGGGAGACCGGAGACCGGGAGGCGGGAGCTTGCTTAGACCTCGTAATTTACTTTGAAACCTTCGAGTAAGTGTTCGTCCGCTTTAATGATACCACACGTGCCGCTTCCTTTTCGACGCCGGAAATCCCTCCAAATTATACACCGTGGCTTCTGCCTTCCCTTTATTTTTTATTTTTTTCATTTTTTCCCTCTTCCTCTGCCTTCTTCCATCTTTCCCTGTTCGATCACACTCTCAATACCAACCCCAGAACTCCAGAACCAACGTAGATCCGAACAACTCCACAGGTCCAGAACCCTAGATTTTTCCACTTCCGCTTCTCCATTGAGACCGAAAAGCTTCAGAACTTCACTCTCACCTGCAGTCCCAGTCTCTGTTCTCTCTCTCCAAACTCGTTCGATGCAGAAACCGAGATTCCGACGCTGTTTTCACCCTCCGATCTGATCCAAACTATCAAAGGCAGAAAATACCGATTTTTTACTTTATTTTTTTACCTTTAACTTAAAATGGGGGCTGTAACGTCATCAATGGCGGCAAAGTTCGCTTTTTTCCCTCCGAATCCGCCATCGTATAAGCTCGTCGTCGGCGAACATACCGGAAAATTGTTAATATCGGACGTTCCGCACAGAGAAAACGTTGATGTACTAAAGCTCTGTACGAAGAGAGGAAATGAGATAGTTGCGATGTATGTCAAGAATCCGTCGGCGTCGCTGACTGTGCTGTACTCTCATGGCAACGCTGCTGATTTGGGGCAGATGTATGAGCTCTTCACGGAGCTTAGTCTTCATCTATGCGTAAACTTGATGGGGTTAGTTCCGATTTTGCCTGGTCAAAAATTTTGAATGTCAGTATTTCAGTTCAAGTCTCTTTAGCTTTAAATCAATTTGGAGTTTCGTATTTCTGAGTTCTAATCTAATTAGACTTCTCTACTATTGTTATGAGATGTTTTTGGCATTAAAGAAAAGATCGACTGATGAGCAGTACAGGAATGTTGGGGACCTGGGAACCTAGATTCTCTGTTTTTCATTTCTTTTTCCTCTTTTTATCTCCTCTCCATGTCTCTTATTTGAGGAGCTCCAAGACAGAAAAACTTGATTTCGTATATGATTTACAGGTACGATTATTCTGGGTATGGACAGTCTTCTGGGAAGGTATCGTGTCTGTACTCTGTACCAACAGAGTGTGAAAAAATATATATATTGATTTGTTTTGACTGAGTAAAAATTACTGATTTATGATGTTTAAATCTTACTGGTAGCCGAGCGAGCAAAACACATATGCGGACATAGAGACAGTTTATAGATGTCTTGAGGAGATTTATGGAGCCAAGGAGGAAGACGTTATCTTGTACGGTCAGTCAGTTGGTAGTGGCCCTACTTTGGATTTGGCGACCCGTTTGCCTCGACTGAGAGCTGTGGTTCTCCACAGTGCAATCATGTCTGGCCTGCGAGTCATGTATCCAGTAAAACGAACATACTGGTTTGACATTTATAAGGTTTCGGGTTTTTTTTTTTTTTTCCTGTCTGAATTCTTTGAAGCCCTAATCTTTCACCGTTTGGTGATGCTTTGTTGGACTCGATTTCCATTAACGAGTGCTCTCAATTTTCTTCTTTCATCTCTGTGCAGAACGTTGATAAAATTCCATTGGTTACTTGCCCAGTTCTCATAATTCATGTGAGTATTGTATTTCTCCTCAGGCTTCCGTGCTAGTTGGTTTTTGTTTAAAGTAAATTAGGTTTTTTTTGGGTAGAAAAGTAGGTAGAGCAGTGTGATACAGTTTTTGATGCACCATGATAATAGTTTTGTCAAAGATTATTTCCATCTGTTTCCTTGGAATTAATTGGAAATGCATATTGGTTAATAACATTACCAAAATTGACCATATGACTGTTAGGCATTCTACATATGCTGGCAGATTTCAAACCCATAATGAGCGGGGGTTTAATTTGAATTTATGGTATTCCACTGTGGAGTGAAGATTCAATTCCTTTTATAACCCTGAATTCCGTGTTAATCCAAACACAGCCATCCTCTTATTAATACATTTACTTGTTGATTTGTTAATTTTCCTTTTATCTTTAGGGGATGTTTGACAATATGGTTTTGCTTTTGTTTTCAAAACCAACTATGTTGTCAAACACCCCCTTAGTTATTATCTCTTTTAAGGTGTTTGAGACTTTCGAGTCTTGTAGTAATATTCCATTAACTGTGTTTGAGACCATGATGTAGGCACAACCCTTGTCATTCATCTCCTTCTCTACCGCTTCCCTTCCCTACAAACAGATAACTCCGATGGGCAATATGCCCGAAGCCCAAAAATCCTAATTCCTAACCGACTCTTTTTTTTTTGAATTGCTGAATCGAACTACCTGGTGTGTGCCCCTGCCCAAATAAAGTTTGATGCATCCGATTCCAAAACAACAATTACTTTTGCCCTCCAGATCGTTATTTTTGGTTGTGCCATCTAGATTGCTCCATTGCCTGAGTATCCACATCGATTGGCCGGAAGGCAGTTCACCCTTATATGTTATTATAAATCTGAAATTTTGGTTCATACTGAATTTTCTGCCTACCTTAAAATGGAATTGTTCAACTTGGTGAGCTTTAAATGTGCTTAAAAATATGATGTAGCTCCTGAGGACATATGATGGATACCAGCCACTTCCTACCTAGTAATTAAGATGCATTTTGAATGCTTGATAGGGATCCTTGTTGTGAAATGCATTACCAATAGAGCTAAAGCGCACTCATTTGACCAGCTGTTCACTCAATTATTGGTCCTTGCAGGGAACTGCAGATGAAGTTGTAGACTGTTCCCATGGTAAGCAGCTTTGGGAACTCTGTAAAGAAAAGTATGAGCCGCTATGGCTTAAGGGAGGGAACCACTGTAACTTGGAACTCTACCCAGAATATCTAAAGCATCTCAAGAAGTTTATATCAGCTATTGAGAAATTGCCAAATCCCAGCAGTGGATGCCAACAGAGTACAGATCAGCCAGAGCCTCCTCGAAATAGTACAGACCAGAGAGAGAAGTCCAGGCCCAGTATTGATCAGAGAGAGAAATCTAGGCCAAGCACAGATCGGAGGGAGAAGTCAAGAGCCAGCACAGATAGGAGAGAAAAATCAAGAAAAAGCACCGATCGCCCTGAGAAGGCAAGAAGTAGCACAGACCAGCCAGAGAGAGCAAGGAACAGCATTGATCGGTCTGATAAAACTTGGACTGGCTAAGATTGTTTTTCTTTCTTTTGTCTGTTGTGGACAATATTACTTAGGATGTAAATATATAATATCTTGTTTTCTTGACTATTGGAATGGAATGGTGGCAGCTTCGGAGATATGATGAGATCGGTCGGATTGTGCAATATCGATTGTTTCAAGCCTACAGCATCTGGGATCTGAGGAATTGAAGGTTAGTGCTTGAAATCAGGTTGTATCTTTGTTTTTTGTTTCTTTATTTGATTGATCAATTTGGATTTTGGGTGATAACAAATGTGGTTTTTTTTTTCTTTCCTCCACGTTTTCAGATAAATAATAGGAAATTAATTTAAACAGGCAGATCTTGTATTTCAACTTATCACTCTCAATAGTAATAAGTCGTATTTCTACATACATCTATGTTCTTCAGTGGATTGATATTACATACAAGATCCTGCTTATACTTGGAGGGGCTCCCAACTCTTTAACATCATATTGATAAGTTTTCTAGTACAGGAGTACTTGAAGAAGGAAACAGAACTCCAACAGACTTGATGATAATGGGCTTTTAAGGCCCATGAATTATAGTATGCCTATATCTATTACTGTCCCAACAATAGTTGCTTGTTATGTGAATTAAGCACTCATTCAACCAAATGTGGCGTGGGTAAATGATAGAGCCACAAATTCAAAATTAAATCTGATTTGCAACTTCATCATTATAAATCTAAAAGCCATGGCACAGACTTTAGACCAGGCTGTGCCTGGTAGTGGAGAGTTTGGAGCTTCTTTGATATCAATTATTTTGTGCTTCTTTAGTTTAAGTATTCTTTTTATATTGGTTGACGTACTGCATCATAATTGTCAGGTCTCAAGAGTCTGGTCTACTCGATCAAAAAGAAGGAAAAGAAAAAGAACAATGACCTGTTCAGACTTCAGACTTTTAATATTAAAATGAATGGAAAATTTTGGATTTAGCATATAAGACCAATGCACCTGTTTCGGGCTTTGTATGCTATGTACCAACTACCAACCATTGAAGCATTCCTACGTCGGAGATGTGTTGCACAAAAATTGGCATGATCAATAACTGCAACCATGCACTTATTACTCATCTAAATGGGAGTTCACTTTTGGCCTTTTGCTACAGGCTACAGTTGCAGTGGGCCAATGAAAGCACGGTCACATTCCTCCATGGTCGAGACAATTCTTTTTAACTTAAAAGTAATAAAAGCGTGATCTGATCAAAAGTGAACCCCAACAAACAAAGCTAGCATCTTGCAATGCAATCTGAGGTTCTCTATTCTCCGAGTGCCTCGATACACCATAGACGTAGATGTAAAATAAACATCCTATCTGTCCTATATATGTCAACCCAATCAGTTTTTTCTCTGGTTTTTAAGGGTTTCAGGGTACATATTCATGTTGCCACCATGGGATGAACTGAACTAGTAGTGCATTTTCGTTAATGAACATTGTTGGCTAGCTTCTTAAATCAAGCATTGCCCTCACCATAATACTCAAAAATGATGCAACTGAACCTGGGTTCATCCATTACTGCTCTTATACAACACAATGTTTAAACTCGACATGGCTAAAGTTTATGATAAAGTTGAGTGGAGGTATCTAATTCGAATCCTTAGGAGTGTGCACTTTTTTTCTAAGTTGGTTAAGATGGTTGAATTATGTGTCATGCCTTTTATCTTTGGCTATCCTTGTTATAGGGATATTCTCATGACTTGGAATTCTAAATGAATGGGCCCTTTGTTTTTTGGATTTTAAGAGGGGGAAGTTGGTCAATGGGATGTTTCCATTGACTAAGATATCCATATTCTTTCTTCAGATTTATGTACATGGGTAAGTAATACCCATTTCCTAGTTTTGTTGGTAACTTTCCCATGTGGAGGGAAAATTGCCAACATTTTGATGGGACAAAGTTATCCCTTTTAATAATGAATTTTTATGGCTAAAACAGTCATTGTCTTATCTACCTGGAAAATAAAAGAATGTGTTTACCCGAGGAAATAGTTCCCAAGAAACACTTACCCAAGGTTGTGGGCTGTGACTTACAGGGTTTCAAGTTGGGCCTGTGATCAGACTTGTTGAGAAATTTCATTGCTGAATGCAAGTTCTCTTCAAATGTTTAGCTGGATTCAAGTAAGATATCCCCCAAAATTGTAAACCTGCAGTCCACAGCAGATTGGCCAAATATGCAACATCACTCTTACAACTGGAAAACTTTTTCTGTTGGTAACGTTCTTGGGAATGCCACTTTACCATGCGTGTAGGATTAAAGAGTAATTGCCCTCAAAAATACAAGTGGGGACTGAATGGATTAATGTGTCATGCAAAAGAAACTCTTCAGGCTGTTAGCCTCTAATTATCAAATCTTTTGGAAGGCGTAAATGGAGATGCAAACGGATCAGATTAGATTTGAATCAGGGTAATATCCAAATCAGATCCGATTGGATTTCACAAAGGTCAATTCAGATCCAAATCTATTAAGGATATTGAATATCCAATTCTGATCTTATCCGATTTAATTTCTGTAAAATTTAACAAATTATTAAAAAGGGAAAAAACATAACAATTATTATAAAGAACAACAAAAAAATATAAGCATTTTTCAACAATTTTCATTATATATATATATAAAGTGGAAATGCAAAGTGAAAGTTTTGTTAGACTAAAATTATCCTCTATTTCATTGTTTGAGAAAGGGATTAAAAGTCATTTTATTATAGTTTTAATGCCAACTTCAATTGTTACTAAAATGCTTATTGTCTATTTAGTGCATCTCTAATTGTAAGGGTTGAAAATGTAACTTTAATTATTACTTTTCACCTCATTTAATCTCCTCTCATTAAGTCTTATAATTTAAAGTATTAATTCCCATTTTCTCTTATTAAATCATATATTAAGTTATTTTTCACTAATAAATGATACTAATTAAATCTATGCCAATATTTTTAATAATATAAACCTATATATTTTAAAACTAACTCAATAAAAAAGCCATTCTTTATCAAAGTGGTGGCTAAGAAATTCAATCATCTGAATCAAATTGATCAACATATATAGTCATAGTTATGTAATAAAATTTTTAAAAATAGAAATAAATATAAAAAATTACAAAATGTAGAAAAAAATGACATGTTTATTAATGAAATTAAAAAATAAGTGTAATAAAGAAGAATATTTTTTATTGATAATGAAAATTAAATACATAATTTAGAATTAAGCAAAAATTGAACTATTTTACTATTTGGCAAAGATCAATAGTTCAACTTTTGGGTTAAATTTGTTAGTGTTTAATGTCATAAATAAATATTAATAAAATATAACAATACAAAATGAAAAAAAAAATGAATAAAGTTTGGAAAAGAACATTTAGGCACATGTATAATATCATATAATTAGCATATTAAATAAGAACTAAGTGTGGTATACCATAATTATTTTTACACATAGAAATACAAAAAGAATTATAGAAAAAATTTGAACACATCTATAATTCTATATTTACACTACTATTAAAACTATGAATAAGACTATAGAACATTCTTTTAACTAAAATACTCAATTTTGAATTTAATTCATATTTAATTGTAAAGTTTAAATTGTAAATTAAACTACTACTTAGGGGTGCCAATTGGACTAGATTTGGTCCAATTCGATCCAATCCAACTTGAGTCAATTACAAATGGACCAGGTCCAATCCAATCCAATAAATATTTTGAACCTGTCCAATTCAATGTCTAGACCGTCCAATCTGTTCAAATTTGTTTTAATTTAGATTGGTTTCAACCCAAACCTGGTCCATTGACACCTATATTCTTATCCTATATCAATGGATTAGATATTGGCTTAATTCAACCAATCAAATATAAATTTATTACGAACAGACTAGGTCCAATCCACTCTAATAAATATTTTGGACCAGATTGGTCCAATCCAATATGTCTTGTTGGTTCGTTCAATCCATCCAAATTGATTTTGGATTGGATGGGGTCCAATCCAAAACAAGTCCATTGGCACCCTTACAACTACTTTTCCACTGTTCGAGTAACACGTTAGCTAGGCAAAGCTATCACGTGATCTACCTCTGTGGCCAGTGACTTCGGACCACGTTGACATACACCACAATCGCGTCATGAAGAGGCCTCACAAGGAAGCAGAGTCTCACACGGACAAGGAGATGTGGCCCACCGGGGAGAGAGGGGCCTCCCTAGAACCTCGATGGGCAACCTCATCCCAACAACCCCACATACCTCACCTAACTATAACATGGGTGTTTAGTCTATATAAAGACATCTCCCTCTCAAGGTAAGCTCTCTGGGATCTAGCACACATTACTCTCTTCGGCTTGGACCAGCTCTCTACCTGTTCAGCCCAACAAATCTCTCTCTACATTATTGACTTGAGTATCAAAGTGCCTACCTAGGAGTAAATTCCTTGGGCCTCTGATTTTCTCTGTGCTTGTAGACTACTATGCACAGCCTCGTCCTTTCACCTTGACCTTGTCCAATTGGTAGGACAATCTGCTACGTATTCAGCTTGGCACACCTTGGATTGAACAACATCATTCAATTATATCTATTTAAATCTTACATTTTTTATAAATGAACAAAAATATACACAAAAAAGATAAAACATTGCAAAAAGAAGAATCTAGCCAAGTAGGTAAGCCTATCAATGATACTTGAATCTTCACAACTTGATCCAATGATATTTAGATGAGTTTTTTTATGTAATCAGATCTAGATTTTTTAATCTCCATCCTATTTAAAATAAAATTACATATTAATATAATTTTTTGATACACTATTACTATCATTATCATTATATATATAATTCGGATCAGATCAATGACCTAGTCCATTTGCACCCCTAGGTGTAATTCCCTTTGAGGCCAATGTTGTTTGATTGTTTCTATTTAATTGATAATGAGATTGCTTTTGGTATTTCCCAAAATAAAAGGGAAAGATTAAAAAAAAAGTTGAAAATTGAAATGTTTCAAATTGAAAACTTTTTACGCCTTGCCAAAGAACAAATAGACCAAAATTCCAAGATTTGCATGTAATTCAAGGTGGATATTAAGAATTAGATCCATGGAGAGGGGAATTTGACTTGATCCAATTTGATTATATGTTGCAAGTGCTCATGCTATTAAGACATCTCATAATCCCCGTTAACATGTAACTCTTAAAATTGTGAATTGTATAAGCAACTGAAATGCGATAATCATTGACAAAGATCAGATCACTTCCCATTAAATGCTTACCACACAGCTTCCAACATAATCAATATATAGCCACAGTTCTCAAGTATGATCCCATAAGTATCAAATTGTAGGGGTGCAACATGGGCGGGGTTGGATTGGAATTTTATTAAAAAATTAAATGGGCCTGACCCTTAAGCCCAAACTCTGATGGAGTGTAAAATATTAAAATTGGGCATCCGACTTGCACCCTGCTAAATTGTAAATTGTATAAGTAGAAATGGGTAAATATAACTATGAAACATCAAATTGGCAATAGATACCAGATTGCTACCCTCAAGATGTTAAGCACGCAGCTTCCAACATGATCCCATCAATCAATAATGTGGACTTTTAAAAGAGATGATGGGATGAAAAGAAAGGAACATTTTATTTTTAAAATTTATATTTGTACGTATACATATCATTACATACATTTACATAAAAAATGTATATTTGTTTCCATGCCTATTTAATAGAAA